AATTTAAGTATTAAAAGAAATGAAGATGGTTCTATACTACACAGAATTTAGCATAAGCCTACTTGGACTGTACAATACTCGCTATTTAATAGCTTCTGTTCAATCGGTTATAAAAGAAGTTTAGTCAAAACTTTTATTTAAAGGGAGTCATCAAAAATGAACTGGATACTATACAAAAAACTTTGTTTGTTTATTAATGAACACTTCAAACCTGAAAATGGTGAAGTGAATGATACAACCATGCCAAAATAGAACGTCTTCATTAGACTACCATTAAGAAGAAGTGATGAATTGAATTCACAAAATAATCCTCAACTGAATCCATGCATCACACTAACTAATCCAGCTGAGAAATTAACAGTCATCTATGACATGAAGAACATAATCACAAAAACTAATTTACATGTAAGACCTTCTCATGTTACTAGCAATTGTATTTATTTATTCACCTATACTTACAGTAGCATGTATATCGGAAGAACAGAGACGGTCCTTACTAAACGAATCTCTGAACATGTATTGAGAAACCTGTCATTGAGAGTGGAAGGTTACCAACCAGCCCCATTGTCAAGCACATACTCCATACAGGTCATGTCATCGGCTCAAACATAGCTTTTAAGTTAATCAATAGACAAAGAAATAGTAGATTACCACGTTATATAGAAACACCAGCAATCAGTCGATTGGAACTAGACTTATGTGTACAAAAGGAGTTCGTGGTTCACCTTCCATTGCCTTGGTAACTTGTTCTTTTCCTACGGCTTTATTTACTATTTTATTCTTTCATCTTATTGCCTTGCGCAATATTTATTCTCAAACATTATTCATGTTCCCATCATTTTTGACTTATTTTAACCCATTATATTTTTATCATGTTTGTTAGCATATCCTTTTCTATTCGTCTATCATTAACTCATATACTTTGCATACCATCTTTGTTATTCTCCCCCTTTCATTAGAATCCTAGTTGACATTTATTACACGGTACATTTCTTCCCCCTAATTTATTTAGGGTACAAGAAAGAAATTTGAAATGAAAAATGATTGGGCTGATTCCTCTGTTTAAAAGTCAATGTGTTTTTGTTGCCAAGGTACTTTCCTATTGGACTAGGATACTTACTCGTAGGTATCTGATTAGTTCAGTTTAGATAAGCTATCTGTATTTAGATTGGCTTATAAATCATCATTACTTGTCACATGAATTCTGTTTTAAGAAATTAATCGCCTTCAGGTTAAGATTCAACCCAAAATGAATTTAAAATTTGTGGAGAATTCAGTTCTGTAGTGACAATGTTGTGTAACTGTCGTCATGACAATTGTAATTTCCCATTGATAAACAGGGCTGAACTGCTCGATCTCTGTTGGCATATAGGCTCCTATGTGGATACCTTGTTACTACTGCCGACTCATGATGTAAAGTTGATCTCGGTGACTAACAGAGGACTCCAGGACTGGTGTTTTGTTCTATTTGATACTCGGCTTAGTTAATAAGGCTCTGCCTGTTTAAGCGATGGATACTGAGTTCGATCCGCAATGGGAATCACATCAATGACTTGGATCCTGCTACATTCAGCTGACGAGTCCCGAGTAGGACGAAGCGCGGGTCCTGGTAGTCACCAAGATCAATATGTATTGAGTGTAATTTATAACTGTAACTGCAGTTTGCAGAAAAATCTAAATCTTAAATATATTAATCGAAAGTTTTCACATAATGATAAGTTCTTATTTTGGTAATAATTCGAACAAAATTACTGCTCATGATCACATCAACAGTCGGAATATTTTCTTAATAATTCACTGAAATGAAAGCTTATCATTGTTTGTAAACTTTTCATTTGAAATGTACTTATAATATATCATTCCATTCGGCAATACACAATTTTCTCACTTATATATTTAAATCTTTGTAGGAATACACTTCTACATTGTATAAGGTGTACTTTTACTTGTGTAATCCCCGAGTAATATATCACAACAAATAATCCTCAACGTCTCGATCTTGCTAGGAAGATCCTTTTCATCAAGAATATGAATCTGACATTGGTGGGGATTACACAAATAAAAGTACACCTTATACAATGAATCATACTAACTTAATGGCCAAGTTTTTTCAAACTATCCAGTCCATTGTTAGTCAGGATACCTTCAATACACTGTTAGCTGTAATTTTGAGGATAATGTTGGTGAGAAACTGATTATTCTACCTTAGTAGTTCTAACCAACATTAAGGTGGTCTTCGAAAACAGGTACAAACTAAGTAATCACGTTCATATAAGCAGATTTTAAAACTTATCTCCGTGTTTGCCACTAAATTGCTACGATGTACTCTGCACTCCGAAACTCTTTATTGAGAGTGGATTTGCTGTTCAAGTTGAGGTATGACAGCGGGGAAACTATTTTATTTCAGCTGTGATTAAGAGACAGCATTTCTTTAATATCCTTTGCATCTAAGAAATGGTAGTGTATAGGAATTTTTGTTGTTATCGAATAACTGCAGTAAATTGGCTTATAAATACTATGTGAGTATTGAATATTTTGTGAATTGCAAGGACGATTGAGTTAACAGCCATCGAGTAAATGTTTAGAAACTTTCTAAGAACTTCGGTTACAACACTTCGAACAGTATCGTTGCTCATCATGAAAACGAAGCAACCGGTCCTGAGTTTGCTCCCTTTTCGATTTCATTGGATATTTCATCGTCTATTTTAATTGGACAACAAGTTACACAGGGAGTGAGGGGGAAGGGGTAGAAAATAACAGTTAAAAAAATTACTACTATGGACCAAATGTATTTCTAGAATTCCTACCACCTTGAACTGTAATCACATTCCTGTACTACTATCATGTCGTATTTCACTTTGTATTTACTCGTCGATTTTATAGTCTGACTTGTTCCTTGTATCCGTTGTTTAGATGACACACACGAAATGAATCTCATTCATTCCACAATATTTGTTGTTGTTTGAAGGTATCCTGGCCAACAATGGACTGGATGGTTTGAAAAAACTTGGGCATTAAGTTAGTATGATTCATTGTATAGGATGTATTTTCGCTTGTGTAATCCCGGCGTCGTAGTTTATTAGAACAAATAACAAAATAAACAAATATTTTGTGCATTATTCCTCAACGTTTCGATCTTGCTAGGAAGATCCTTTTGAAGAGAATATGATTCTGACATTAAGTTTTCAGGTTAATATTCAAGTTTTGGTACACGAAGATTGGATAAGTACTATAGTACTTCCTTATCGAACATCCACTTCAGAGGAAATAAGACGTATCCTTAAAACCGTTACAACATGAGAGTATTCTTCAAGGTGACGAATACATTACACTCACACCTGTGTAAATTAAAAGATCCGATTCCTCATTTGGAACAACAAAACTGTGTTTATAAGGTAGACTGCAGTGAATGCGATGCCATATACATTGGAGAGACATCACGTCAAGTACTAACACGTCTAGCCGAACACGATCGAAGTTCCAAAAAACCACCAAAAAATTCCTACGATCTAGAAAAACTTGAAAAAAGCTCTGCTATCGCAGCTCATGCCCTATATTCAGGTCATAAAATAGCATTCGAACAGACAAAAGTTCTGCAAAAGAGTTTTCTCTCTCATAAAGAGCGGACCATTGCAGAAGCTTTGCACATCTGTTCATATCCTTCTTCGGTCAACAGAAAAGATGAGTTAGACATCCCACTAATATAGTGGCAAACATTAATGACTCGCCTATGCAGTTATAAATAATATCTGAAGAGAAGGTAGATTGTTTAGTCCTATTACATACACCTTATTGATCTACTATTTTCATCAATTTTACACTACTCTCTGAGTCATATACATTCGATGAACCATAACATAATCCATTTTGCTATCACTCATACTTCAAGTGTTATCGTTATTATTATGTATTTAAGATATATTGTCTTATCTTCAAATATTCATCCTTCCAAACTAGTAATCTATTCTTCCTCACCCTTGATGTCTCACAACCCCATTGTACTTTTCATAGGCGAACTAAAAAATTTCCCCACCCTATTTTTTTTGTTCCACCTTACTCGCACAACGGAAAACCTCTCTGACCGAGTTGCTTATTCACTCATCTGTATTACATTGATCTTTTCTCCATATCACTATGTAATTGGATGATTGTAAAGGTCACCATTTTGTGTACCAAAACTTGAATATTAACCTGAAAACTTAGTGTCAGATTCATATTCTCTTCAAAAGGATCTTCCTAGCAAGATCGAAACGTTGAGGAATAATGCACAAAATATTTGTTTTTGGTGGTTTTTTGGAACTTCTACCGTGTTCGGCTAGACATGTTAGTACTTGACGTGATGTCTCTCCAATGTATATGGCATCGCATTCACTGCAGTCTACCTTATAAACACAGTTTTGTTGTTCCAAATGAGGAATCGGATCTTTTAATTTACACAGGTGTGAGTGTAATGTATTCGTCACCTTGAAGAATACTCTCATGTTGTAACGGTTTTAAGGATACGTCTTATTTCCTCTGAAGTGGATGTTCGATAAGGAAGTACTATAGTACTTATCCAATCTTCGTGTACCAAAACTTGAATATTAACCTGAAAACTTAATGTCAGAATCATATTCTCTTCAAAAGGATCTTCCTAGCAAGATCGAAACGTTGAGGAATAATGCACAAAATATTTGTTTATTTTGTTATTTGTTCTAATATACTACTTCGCCGGGATTACACAAGCGAAAATACATCCTGTACAATGAATTTGTTGTTGTTGTTGTTGTTGTTGTTATTCTACAATAATATTGTCTGATTTTATTCACCTTGTTTAATATGCAAGTTTGTTCAAGAATTCAACATTCACAGAGTATTTCTTTCAATAGCATCTGGTAAAATAATAACTTACACTTCAGTACAAAGTAGCCAGTAAAAAAAGAGACATATGTGTATACATAAATTAAGTTTTCATTTTAATCTTCATCATTCTCATTGTTTGACGATTGATTGAAACACAATTAAACTGTTATATTAAACGATGAGTTTGTTCTGTCCTCACCTTCTTGACTTGAGTGAACTGGTGACAGAAGTTTTGTTCTCATTTTTCTTAATAACTCAAAATATGACCAAACAAATGCATGTGTAATCTAAATAATACGAAAAAAAAGCGTAGTATGAACAATGAGTCGATGTTATATATAGTTCAACACAATGATCTTGTAGAAATGACGAAATTTTACAGTGATTTAGGTATCTGAATGTCAACTAGTGGGTCCCAGATTGGAATCCTATACAATCAGCTGGATACTGGGCAACCACCAGGTACTTCTTATCCCATACATAGTAGTTGTGGCTCACTGTCTACAGTATATGGCAGTTGAGTGTAATTCACTTATGGGCAACTGAAGTATTTCAAAGTATAATCCGTAAAAAAAACGTATCATGGAATATATGGTTAGCACTTTGGTGTTTGCAGAAATCTGCATCAATTTCTTGGAAGTTAGAGACAGGGGAGTACATGGAGTACATTACTTCTTATTGATAAGTTATCAAATGAACGAGTTCTATAAGAGTTCTAGTGTTTTCAATCCTCATAAAGCAATATCTTGGAAACATTTTAAAAGTGCTCTTACAATGAGCCCAAATTCTTTTGCATGAAATGCTTGATTCAGTAGTAAATAATGAATACTGACAAATTTATTGCTTTCATAATAATTGTGCTTCTATGCATTCTAGAATGATAGGATGTGGCATAAATCGAAATCAGCATTCGAAGTTATCAACCGATAAGGTTTCACTGTTACTGTGTGAACAGAAAAACCTTATTCGACAATCTTATCCTTCAGTTGACCAGTGAAAATAAGTATCCAACTTTTCACCTAGTAGTGGCTTTATTTTATGAGGAAAAAACTACATATGAATATTGTGTTATCTGTCAAATAAAGTTGTCTTCCTTACAGCTACAGGTTGGGTCTTTGTCTTCTGATTTTCTCAGCTAAGTAAATTATCAGGTTGTGAGAGAGAATAGTCGCTAATAGTATTCAGTTCAGGTGTCTTATTGAGTAAGTTGCATTTCTAGGGTTTTGTATTATTCTGTCAGTTATTTTTACTCGATCCCTTCAGGAATAAAATTCGTGTTCCCAGTACCCTATCTGTCTTAGTTAAGGAGTTTTCACTTATAGACATCAGTAGTACCAGTGATTTTGGTTTCTGAGAAAGCAATGGTTAGACCAGTTCAGTCAGTCTGTATTAAATAACCACTGTTTATGTTTGCCTCTGAATAGCATTTATACTGATTACAAACAAGAAGTTGTAATGCGAATGAATGAATACATGGAATTACAGCGACCCAACCGTTTAGTACTTCATCATTCAAATGCTTGGAAGAGAATTTCTCTTTCATGGATTTTCTTGTTTTATGATCCAAGAGGGTTCTATGAATTACCGTTGATAAACAAACCAAGAATCGAAGTGCACTATGCAACCACATGTTCAATTCATACAGTAGACAGTAAGTTATACTAATTGTGGGGAGGCTAATGATGCCAAATGACTGTCCAAAACTCGGTAAATAGAGTGGGGTTCAAAACTGTGACTTCTCGGATGAAAGTCAAGTGTCGAGACCAATAAGTTAAAACCTTAGAAATAATAAAAGGGAAATACAACTTATTAATTAAAGCTGAGGTTAGTGGTAAGACCCATGGTAAAGATTAAGGGTGCATATCTTACCTTTTTCGATTTTCGGAAAGAAAAAGCTCAAGAAAATCTTGTATTCATTTAAATATTGTCATATTCACTTATTCATTTTCAGGATATACCGTTAAGGAGACCCTTTTAGGTTGAAAAGTAAGTGTTCTGAGAGCTTAAGCAGCAGTTCGATGGTTTCCTGACAAGACCAGCACACAAGTACACCTCTATCATGTATAATTTTGGCAGAGTAATGTGAAACTTTACTTCTAATGCGCAAATCTCATTGCTATAACTCCATGTCAGTTGAATAATATTTAATATATTCTGACGAATCCTAATACATACGAGTGCACAGTCTGATGGTATATAATGTACAATAATGACCTTCAAAGCCGATCAATTAGCTTGATCAGCAGTTATGATAAGACCATCTAACTGGGTGTAACAACAATCTAGTATTCTGCGTTATAATGTTTACTATTTCAAAAATATCGACAAAAGCAATAGAGTTCGATGTAAAGCCTTATGCTGCAAATCAGCAGTGTATATCTATTGGTGACGGAAGTAAAGTCAAGATCTGTTTGGCAGCTGGATCGTGAAACTTATCAAAAGAGCACTCAACCGATAATTCAAAGTCTGTTACTTCGTATCCTACCACCACCCAGGATTTTATTTCATCTTCGGTTATCACTGAGCATAAAAAACACCAATTCGCTAAATCATGACCACCTCAGCTAGTTCAATCGATGATGCATCTAAAAATGCCCTCTCTTTCTCTCTATTCATGCACATTCAATCGTTTAACTTTGAGGTAGCATGTGTTAATGTTCAGGTATTTGCGATGAAAACGCCAACCTAATGAACTGCATTATGATAACTAGATAAAAACCAAGTAGAATTTATCAAAGTGTATCACGGCTATGAGTCAACTAGCCTGATTGCATGGATTTGGTTATTCTCAAATGATTAACAAAGACCGACATGACGTCAACAGCAACTCAGTGTTAGTATCTTTGACTGCGTCAAATTTCAAAGAAAATATAGGTTCCGCTGAGGTTTCAGATACGGTTGGCTGATGAATGCCAAAATCTGCGAAGCCTATGTAGAGCAGGCCTTTCTACCTATTGCCTCCAACCAACAACTAACAACTTAGGTGATACTTTATTCTTGTTTCCTAGGCTTTCTAACAAACCTCCAAAGATTTCATATTTGTATACTTCAGGAACGAACATCAGTTGGAAGAACATTGGAAACCTTAGAGCATTGGACAGATGTTTTGTCATAGTGTAGGACTCCTGGGTCGGGATCCAATGGCCCAAATTTCTGACTTCTCTCACGTCACGATATAACACGATCTGGATCCAATTCTTTCGTTGATTAACTGTCCTCATGTTCGACTTGGTTGGCCGCACCAGTACCCACTTCATATCGGAACTTCAAAATCACCCCTCGAAGCTAGTCGCCAATGAGTACTAGATTCATTCAGTTTGGAGGCTTGAAGGAAATATCGACTATTGTATTTCAACCCAATGGCTCAGTGGTTGCGGAACCTGTAAGTCCTGGGTTCAATCGCTGGTGGGGTTATGGGTGCGCACTGTTACAGAGTCCCATACTAGGACAAGATAACTATCCAGTTTTTCCAGGTCCCCAATATTTCTCCAACTAATGTCAGTTCATGATGAATACCAACCTAAAAGCAATAAGATCCCCACAAGCCTCCAAATTAAACCTTCAAAGAATTAATGAGAAATACCTCTTGATATTTTATCATATCACCAAGTTAGTGTACACACTGTATGTCAGCTCAGAGGAAAAACAACTAGTAAGAAGGATCAAACCAATTTGGTCGCATAGTTTTTTTATCAACAATTTGGTTTTGTAGTATTATTATTATTTATCCCTTGGGTTCCTATTGGAACATAGGGCTTCAGCAGCACGTCTCCATTCCACTCTCTTCTCTGCAAACTTTTGAACCTGGCTCCACGACAGACCACAAGCTTTCATTTCTTCCTCGCATGATCTCCGCCATGTCACCCTCGGAAGCCCAACTCGTCGCTTCCCATCTAGGTTCCACTCGAGTGCCTGACGCGAGATGTTCCCAGTCGGCCTTCTCAGTGTATGCCCAATCCATCTCCACTTCCTTCCAGTGCATATTTGTTGAGCAATAAGTTCTTGCTTCGTTAGTTCGTTGCCAATCAGAGTGAGTTCCTTGTTGCTTATTCTTTATCGCCACCTGAGCTTCAGTAACGGGCGTAGGCAGTTGTTGATGAATGTCCGTAGTTTATTGGAAATACCTTTCGTAACGCGCCGAGTCTGTGAGGTATACAGAAGCACTGACTTCACGTTGGTGTTGAAAATCCGAATGTTGTTCACGCTTTATGTTGAGTGCAGAAGGTCTCCACACTGGTTTCAGACTAATGAACCCGTCTTTCCGATCCTGGCTGACTCTGACATCCTCGTCTGTGCCTGCGCCGCCTGTAGTTGAAACGGTGCTGTCTAGATAGGTGAGAGAGGCTACTTCCTTTAAGTTTCTCCCGTTCATGGTGATTGGAGATTGTTGTTGTTGGTGGTGGTGGTTGGGTATCACCATCACCTCTGTCTTCTCTACGTTAACCTGAAGTCTCGTCTTCGCTGCCTCTTCTACCACTTTGTTAGTTTTCGCTTGTACATCTTCAAGTTTGTGTGACATTAGACATAAGTCATCGGCGAAATCCAAATGCTCTAGGTTCTTTTCCGCAGTCCAGCGTATCCTTTTCTTCTTGCTCCTCACTTTTTGTTGCATGATCCAGTCCACCACAATCAGGAAGATCATGGGTGATAGTAGACAGCATTCTTTTACTTCTGTCTTCACTTCAAAAGCATCACTGAGCTTCCCATTGTGAATCACTTGGCATGTGGCATCTTCATACAGTTGTTGAATGAGATTGATAAAGGTTTGTGGTATTCCGTAGTGTTGAAGTTTTGTAGTACATCATAGAAATTCTCCACAGGTTAGCACTAATCTTTTAAACTGTAACTACAAATGACGTCTGTCGAAATCCTAAAGAAGTTGTATATAATTTACAAAAGCATAATTATTTCTGAATAAGGAATACTGGTCTAGTAAAAGACATAGGTTTAGACATTAGGATAGATCATCTGAAAACATCTGATATCCACAAAACTGATTAAAGTTAACTTGTTAGTGATTACGAAGAAAATCATCATGTTTCATAATTCCACTTAGAATAATTACCTTTGAATTTCTTTCTAGGCCTACGCTTTCACGGATTAAATCATGTACTGGTAGAATTCTTGAATGTACGCTGCAGTATGTTGTAGTTTCTCCGTGTAAATCTTCTTCTTCTGGTTCTTCCTCCTGTTCCGACAGTTCGACTACTCTATCAGTACATAAATATTTGGAAGAAATGATTTCAAGATTAGTTTTGATGATATGACATTGTACGTATACACTGAAAATCTGTGAAAAAAAAAACGAAAAATTCTTCGAAAAAAATGTCATCTGAAAAAGAGATAGATATCGATGCGCCTTGATTGTGAAGAGGTTGGTACCACTGAAACGTAGTAGATAAAGTTGGTCAGGTATGCTTATGCTTTTTTCTATAGACGAAATATGAGACACAATCGAGTTACCAGAGAACGTAGCACCAAAAATAAATCAATAGACCTACTTCAATATGAAAGAAAGAATACCAAATAATAGCAATGGTGAAATCGAAATGTATCCAATGAAGAATACTTCCATTCCGTCTATGTATATTATTGATTTAACTACTCATAAGTAAAGATGGATAGTGGATAGCAGTGGAATCCAGGATGCGCATTTCGTCCTATTTGGGACTCACCAGTCAGTTGGATGCACCTATACCCAGTGAGTGCTGTTGTTCTCACCAAGATTCGGACTCGGGAGCGGTCGCTTCAGACGCGAGAGAGTTATCCACTACATCAGTGGGCGATCGCTCCCGAGTTCGAATCCCTGTGGGGTAAACATCACTCACTGGTAGACTGACCGGTGAGTCCCAAATAGGACGAAATGAGCATCCTGGATTCCACTGCCAGCCAATATCAATCTTTACTAGAACTAGAACTATACAGGTATATTGTGGCATCTGCACAGGATTCCCATATGCCGATAGAGACCGATTAGTTCTGTCCAATCAACAACTGTATGGTATAAAAACAATTATATATAATAAAACTATACCCGTCGCACAAGAAGTGGCTATCGTGGTTCGGTGGTGTAGTGGATAACGCTCTGGCGTTTGAAGCGATCAATGTCGAGTCCGGATCCAGGTGGAAACATCACTCATCGGGAGGCAGGTACATCCAACTGACTGATGAGTCCCAAACAGGACGAAATGCGCATTCCAGATTCCATGTCTAGCCACTATACATCTTTGCTTATTGTTGAACCTAGCTTACTTGTTTTGAGGTTGCGCAACCTTGGGTGTGAGTCTGTAGTTGATATGAATTACTGATTATTATTAAATATGGGACCAGAATATTATTATTGTCAGTATCATTAGGAGAAAACAAGACAGTATTCTGACATAAAGTGACTCTCAAATGAAGCTGACATATCAGGTTGTACACTCTAAATAGTTTCCCCTACAGCCCAAATCAAATTTGTGAATACATAGCGAAATGACAAAACCTGAGTAGCAAAAAACAGTGGGTTTGAAAATAATCGAGTTTAACAGCTTGGAAAGTTCTTTTAATCACTTTACATAGCCTCTGATATATAAACTTGCCTAGTTACATCTCTGTTAAATTGCAATTTCATGAACAGTGGCTTCTTTGGAGTGCTAAGTAATTCTGTTTTCCTACTTCGCTTCACAATGTGTTTCTGATTATCTCTATCTTCATGGTTAAGAAAATGATAGATGGAATCCATAAGGAGCTCAATTGTATCTAACCTAGTTGATAGTGGTCACTTGGAAGATAAAAACAGACAATGTACTCATGATTGTTTGTCACATACCGCCTAAACTTTCGAATGGTATTCAAAGCCGTCTTTTACACATGACAGAAGCTATTGGAATTCGAGCTATTCATCCTTGTCTTGGCATTCAGAAGGAGAAGTTTGCCCATCCCTTATCTGTCTCTCTCTTACTCAGGCAGAATTCTATTACAGGCTCCACCATTGAAAATTTTCTTATTCCTTTTTTATTCTTCACTGCTTCATATGCTTACTACATTTGTTTATGCTATTTCTTATATTGATCTTGGTGACTAGAAGTGGAATCCAGCCAGCGCGTTTCGTCCTTTTGGGACTCGTCAGCTGGATGTACCTGCATCCCAGTGAGTGTTGTTCCCACCGGAACTCAGACCCAGTAGCCTTCACTTCAAACGCCAAACTTGTTATCGGCTGAGCCGGGTACAGGCACGTTCAGCTAACGAGTCCCAAATAGAACGAAACACGCATCTTGGATTCCTCTACTAGTCACCAAAATCAATATAACATCATGAATATTCGGTAATATCGAGGCATTCGCATAGAAGCCCATCCTGTCACTAAAAGTCGAGCAATTTGGCCCTGTATAACAACGGGAAATTAAAAGTATCACTACGATACACTATTTTTTATTCAATTACCGTAACCTTCAGCATTATACAACTTTCGTTCTGTTAAATTCCTGACCCATTTTCATTATCGAGTTATGTACATTCTTACGCTGTTGTCTTAGTTCTTATCCTCCTCATCATCATCATCATCATCACCATCAGTATTGCAGTAAGCCTAGTCAACACTACCGCCACGACTATTGTTTTTATTATTATCACCACTGTTATTGCGATCTGAATCTTGTAAAGTATTCATCATTGACCGACAAATTTAAATGATTGGTTTAATTTACCCATGATATATCTACTGAGTGATTTATATTAAAACGTGAAGGTGATCTACCTGAAAGAAATACTGTTCACTTATATATGTCATCAACACACTGTATCTTAAACCTTGGGAAAACACATTTTGCTTGGTAGATTCTAACTTGCACCAGTCAATGTAGAAGTCAAGCGAATACAGTTGACTAAATGTATCGATTTAACGTTGAAGCAAGTTGATGGCAGTATTGTATTGATAAACTGATTATCATAAACTTAATCAACTGACTTCGAAAGACACTTAAAAACTGAGACCTATTCGTTCAACTATCCGGTGACAACTTGATACACAAAGAAATGTACTTCAACTTGGCCTTTATATTATTTACCCCCCGCCCCCCTCTTCAAGCATCATAATATGATCAAGAATAGGATGAGTTGTAAGACCCTGATTTCAAACCGGTATACATGAGTTCTGGGATCCAGGGAGTATGAATTCACTTCAGTCACCGACAGCCATAGTAGTGTAACATATGAAGTTGCTTCGGTGACCTGTGGAATACTAACCCTTAAAGACAAGCCTTCACTCTGGTCTGGATGTCCGTGCATTCTCACAGCTCCTATAATAATCATGCAACAACACATTCATAATCAAGACTTTAAAGGGTTCACCAAAGCTTATCGCTAGTAATCAAACTCACTATTTTGTCAATTCTATAGGGAATCATTAATACAAGCAACATCATATAAACTATAACAGTTTCACTAAAAATGGCTATCATGACTTGATGGCTTTGTGGATTACGCTCTAGCGTCTGAAACTATCGATTCCGGGTTTTTGTCCAAGTGGAAACAACGTCGCTCATTGAGAGGTAACTACATCCAGTTGACTATTCTCAAATAGGACGAACGAAATGCACATCCTGGATCCCCCTGCTAGCAACTATCCATCATTTTAATATCAATCATTGACAACTTATTGTCCATAATCATGTCAGGTATCTCCATAACACTAAAAAGTAATTTACATAGTTCTAATTCTCTCTCTTTCTTTGTGATGGGACTAGCAGAATTTTGGTTGTGTTTTGTTCTCTGAGCTAGATGTTTTAATCGTGATTCCTACATTGTCTTTCGAGATAATATAATCAGCAAAAACTTCAATATGAAGTAGTAGTAGTAGTAGTAGAATTTTCTATATATCTGGAACAGGCATTCAATCATTACCGCTGCACACATTTGGTATTGATTCGGCAAACAAAGATTCGGTTATCAATCTCCCCCTTTCTCCAACCGAGTTTGTTTTGAGGACTGTCATTCTATCCCATCATATTGTGTGGTTGTATGTAACTGTATGCAGAGCTGTAGCCGACGCTTTTTCAAGAATCCTTATCTTACTCAAGTCCACCAATCTTGATTGAGCTAACTTTTTGTTCTCGAACAACCTGAATGATTTTTATCGGCTACTTCGACCTACATGTTTGACTTCGCAATCACTGTATCTTAGTTTCACTCAGGCATTTGATAGTGACCAAAATCTTCGACTGTTTAAACCATTATGGGTAGTTAAGCAGTTGCTTCCATAAATCTGTCTTTCAATCATACACACCATCTAAGCTCGCTAGTTTTGAAGTACGGTCCTTGATTTTGATCGCAAGACATAAAGGTTTGGTTAGAACTCAAAAAAAAAATCTGTCTGTTGACATTTGCTGTATCTCAAAGACTGGAAAAATCCCAATGGAGTGTTTTGAATAGTTTCTTCCTCTGATGACTGAAAAAGTGTATTGATTTTGTGGTTGTCCAAGGATGGTTTGTTATCAGCTGCTTCTTGGGTTATATATTTGAAACTGTTCCCCTAATATAGGTGTAAAACTTGGTCACTGTGGTAGGATTTAATTCCGCATTAGATTTGTTTATTTGACAGACACCAGACACAGTGATACAGTATCACCTATTCACTACTTGATGACATCTCGAGCATAACTCATTACTCTTCATAATCATATCAATGTGTAATCACATTACATTCAACATCTGATTCTGATAGCCATCTCACCCACCTCATATTCTTCGCTTTTATTGTTACTAAAATATTCCATATCTCTGGTATAGATGGATGTTGCCTCATTCCTATTCCATATGTGTTGGTTGGGTGTTGATTCGATTAACAGACATTCAGTAATCTCTTTATCTTCACCTAATTATATTCAACTTCAGTAAAGCAGGTTTATCCCACCCTATTGTGTGATTGTGAGTTAATGTGCATGCATTGCAATAGCCGAGTTACTTTCTAGATTATCGATTACATTCGGGTCTGTCATTCTATATTCAGCTAAATTCCTATGTTCGGCTATTCTAACTGACCCCGACCGGATGACTACTTTGACCCATGTGCTTGATCTGACTCACAGTCATTACATGGAATTTGATAGATTAGATTATTCTGCTAAATTGGTTCTATCGGATCCGTAAGCCAGACTACGAAGCTTATCTCTGAGTGAGTTTGTAGGTTTAAATGCCACGATAATTAATTCCAGCTTTGTTGAGGATCTTA